AACATTATTGTGGGACAGTCAGGAATGGGGCATCTTTAGGAACTCTGATCTCTTCAGAAAGCTGCAAGATGGAACTTTCTCTCCAAACCGGAAAATTACTAGTGGTGATGTTGAAATGCCAATAGTTATCCTTGGAGACCCAGCCTGCCCCTTGCTCCCATGGTTCATGAAGCTATACACAGGCAGCCAATACAGCAGTATGGAGCAGTTCAACTACAGACTGAGCAATGTGCTTTTGGATATTTAGAATGTGGTAGAATGTGCTTTTGGATATTTAAAAGGAAGGTTTTGTATTTTACTAAGTTAGACTTCAGCAAAATCAACTTTCTCATTGTTATGGCAGCTTGCTGTGTGCTCCATAATATCTGTGTGCCAGTGGGGTGCAGTGTCTTGAGGGAGATCACCCAGCTGCTAATTTTGAGGAGCCAGACACCAGGTTTAGAAAAGTTTTGAAAACTTCAGAAGACCAGACAGCGATATGACAGTCATGTATGTTACTCTTAATAAGGTGTCCCCTGCATTAAATGTGCTGGCTTGTAAACTCAAGGTGTCCCCTGCATTAAATGTGCTGGTCTGTAAACTCCTTCTCCCCTTACTCCCTCCTTTGTAACACAATCAATAAAGATACTGTTGTTGAGAAATCATGCATTTTTATTTAGGGAACACAGGGAGCAGAGACAGAAAAGGAGTTCAGGGCATGAGCTCTAAGCGGGGGAGCATGGGCAAGTGGCATATTGCAGGCTCCCTGTTCAGCACTCACAGGTGTAAGAATGACAGCCTTCTGTTCTTGGAGACATCCCTGGGAATTGAGTGGAAAGCTGCCCTTGACACACTCTCCCCAACCCTTGCTTTCTATGGCACCTGGGAGGAGAGACTATGGAACTTGGTGAGGAGGGCAGGTGGTTCAGCTTCTGTGCTTCTACCAGGCACATCAACAGCTCTGTCTGTTGCCCCACAAGCCTCAAGGTTTCCACCTGGGCCTGGGCTTTGTGTTTCCTGCACACTCTTCCCTCTTCATGCTCCATTCATATCTCCTTGTCAGGGTGGTTACTACCCCCCTCCCTCTCAGCCCCAAAGGATTGTGGGGCAGGGGCGGACCCGCGTTGAGTTCCCAATATCAGCGTCCCCGGTTGCCACTCTCTGCCCCCTTCGGGACGTGGCCACCCCTGTCCTCGCCTCGGCATCCTCCACTCCGCTGTCCGTCGCGCAGATGCTCCTCCTCCCCCCAGGTGGGCTGGCGCTGCTTTTAAATGCGGCCACCGGCTTACCGTGCATGCGCAACAGCGCGTGCGGCGATTGTCCGACTCCCTGCTCTTGGCGCGAGCGGTCAGCCCGCCTGTGCGTGGTAAGGGGGACGAGGCTAGCCCGTCACACTCCTGCAGCACCATTCTCCTCCATGCATTTAATTGCATCCTGTCGATGCAGGCAGATTGTGTTTCCTCATTAAACATATCATCCCACTTATGTTTTTTTCACCTTAAGATCTATGATAGCTGAATAGCTGGAAGAGTCAGGGGAGTGTGCAACAGACTCACTGTTGCATCTTCTGGACAAAAATGTGAAGGTTAGATTTTAGAGGAGACACATTAAAGAATGCAGAAAAAGGGCTGACTTTACAGAAGATACCTTGTAGAATGCAGAAACTAATCTCTTACCATTAAAGAATATTTGTCCAGCACAATAGGCATGTGTTATGTATAAGTCCAAAGTTATGTTTTTAAGTGCCTACTAGGCAGCAGATACAACACACAGTTCTTAAGGGAGCAGCTGGACTCCCTTCAGTGGTAGGCATAGTAAGGGGCAGGTTTGGGCTCTTGCTCTTTTGCTTCCACTTCGAAAGCATGTGTGACACAAGGGTTGCAAATTGCAGCTCTTGCAGCTAGGCAAGCTTCTGCATTTAAAAGGGTGCCTACAGTCGTGAGGTTCTTTGCTGGGGGGGCAGTTGTGGTGGCAGGGCAGGGGCTCACATGGTCACCATGTGTTTAGCACCCCGTTTGCCCAGGAGAGTGCAATTTTCCCTTCCTAAGGGGCCTGACAGGGATTGACAGGGCCAGGCTCAGTGGCAGGGTAGGGTCTCACACAGTCACTAAACCATGCTTTGTTGGGGATGAACAAACAGAGGTGCACTACCATGGTATCAGTTACTTTCCCCTGCTTCATCCAGGTTGCCATGGACTATATCAGTCTTCTCTGAATCACACAGAACGATAGGGAACAAATGCTGACTGTGGCCAGAAATCTGGACCTTATGCAACAATGTTTTGTACTGCAGCAATAGCAGATCACTTACTGCAGGCGAGGCATGGAAAGGAATAAAGCAGGCCTCCCCAGAAACCTCATTGGAAGGATGAAAATGTTGCATTATAAGAGCTTTTCAGAGTTGTGGATTTGCAGCTTCTGACCCAAACCATCCATTTGTCTCCTTTCTCTGCTGGTACACCTGCCTGGACACTTTTATTTTCACATGGCCCTGCTGGGTGTCCTTGCTGTATCCTTTTTCCACCATGCCCTGTGTGAATTTGGCATAGGTATAATTGTTTCTTTCCCTGCTTTGTAGTTATGCTTGCACAGGTTCCTCTCCCCGCACAGCAGTCAGATCCAGGATCTCCTGCACACTCTGTGCTGGAGCTTGTTTGTAACCTTGGGCATTCATGGTCAGGCATTCTGCTGAGCTGTTATGCTCTGCTCCCCATATCAGTCAGACAGGAAATGAAATTCAAATTTTCCTGGGGCTTTTTCTGTGCAGTTGGAGAGCAGCAGATTTGAAAGTGCAAGCCAGAGCAGTCACATTGGGGCATCGTGGGACACTTCTAGGAGTCCAAAAACATCACTTTTCACAGTGCTATGTCTGCACTACCCTAAAATCGACCACACTAGGTTGAATTTACCATTACCTAGCTTGACAAGTAGGAGTATAGGAATCAACTTTAACAGCCCTTAAAGTTAGTGGAAAGGGCTTGACAGGGTGAACTTCTTTGTTTGGAAAATTTACTTAATACAGCTAAGCTCAACCTAAACTCTTAGGCTATGTCTACATTGCGCTCTCTTGAGCAAGAGCATATGCAAATGAGACATGGTGATGAATATCGCCACACCTGATTTGCATACTTAACGACCTGCCATTTTGCACAAGGGGCTTTTGTGCAAAAAGGAACAGTCTACATGGCTCCTTCTTACGCAAAAGCTCCCTCTTGTGCAAGAGACGTTCTGCCTGAAAATAAGTGGCAGAATGGCTTTTGCGCAAAAGCCCCTTGTGCAAAAATGGCAGCTCATTAATTATGCAAATGAGGGGCAGCAATATTCATCACCATGCCTCATTTGCATATGTCTTTGCGCAAGAGAGCGCAATGTAGACGTAGCCATAGTGTAGCCCAGGTGTAAATTATGTTGGGTCTGCAGGCTTAGCAGGAGTAAAAAGCAATATATACTTATTTCTATCACTTGGGTCAGCACATGTGACTAACTATGTTCTGGGAGAAGAAATGCTGGGTAAAAGGGGTGTTTTTATATAATCACTTTTCAGGGCAGAATCAAACTTGAAACTCTTGTAAAGAAATTACAGCAAGTTTGATGTGAAAATTTAATCTTCCTGGATAATAATCCAGGAAAATTATGAGCTGCTGTACTTCATGTAATGGCCTTTTTTACCGATGGTTTATAGTGGATCAACTCGGATCTCATTTTCACTGCATAGTGTTGGTGTCAATAAAGTTACTTTGGGATTTCATACATTTTCATGAGATCAGAATCTGACCCACCATATTTAATCTGCTATGGAGTTTGATGGCTCTTTCTCAACTTAATGGATGTAGGGGTAACAAGAAGCCTTTAATTATGATAAAACTAAGTTTATGTGGCCAGACTTGTTTTCCAAATTATGAAAATATTTTCTTGTATCATGTAAGATCTACCTCAGACCCAAATACCCTTGTCCCACTTCCTTCCCCTTCTTCCCTGAGGCCCTGCCACTGCTCCACCCCTTGTCTGGGGCCTCACCCTGCTTACTGCATTCGCCTTCACCCCCCCATCCGCACTCACTTTCACCAGGCGGGGGTTGGGGTGCAGGCTCTGGTCTGGGCCAAGGGGTTTGGAGTGTAGGAGGGGCTCCGGGCTTAGGCCAGGGTGGAGGATTGGGATCCAGGAGGGGTTTCAAGGTGCAAGCACTAGGAAGGAGTTTGGGTGCAGGGGGACTCACATCTGGAGCAGGAGGTTGAGCACAGGAGGAGGTTCAGGGCTGGGACAGGGGTTCCAGAAGCAGACTCTGGCTGGGCACTGTTTAACCGAGATGGCTTCTGGGTGGTGGAACAGTGGGGTTAAGGCGGCTTACTCCTGCCCTGGCCCTGCCCCACTCCTGAAAGCAGCTGGCATGTACAGCAATGGCTCCATGGTGCCATGTGCTGCCCCTCATCTATAGGCACTGAGCCCACAATTTCTACTAGCCACGATTCCCCATTATTGATCAATGGGAGCTGCAGGAGTGATGTCTTATACCACCCCGAATTGAGGGCTATTCACGAACTCAGGCTAGTGAGCCATACTGAGGGATAGATATATTGACTCTGGCCATTGGGCCACACTGCCTGGTGAGTAGGGCCACTTATACACTCGGAGTTACTCAGAGACCGGTGAAGTTTTGCAAATTATAGAGACGGCCAACTCCCTTGTGGCCAAAGAGGTGGCATGCGCATCCACTTCCTTAGCTCTTATTCTTCATAAAAGAATTTGATAGCATTTTAGTCATGTCTTCTCTAATAGCAGGAAACTGCAGAAACTGTACAGAGATGCAACAAAGCTGTAGCTCAAAAATAACTATTCACCTGGTTTTGTACTTCAGCCAATAAGAACCTTTTATTGTGAGTTTCAGTTTATCTGTCTTGTAAATGCTGTTTTAATTCATCTCCTATTGTGACAGCTCATACAATTTCCCATTTTAAGACTCTTTTATCAGAGAAAATAATTTGATAATTACATAATTGTTATATATCTTTTTTTCTCTTTAGATCATTCAGACCTGATTTTGTTCTTGTTCGACAACATTCATTCGGTATGGCTGAGAATGAAGACTTCCGTAATTTAATCATTGGAATGAATTATGCTGGTATTCCCAGTGTCAACTCCCTAGAGTCAATCTATAATTTTTGTGACAAACCCTGGGTGGTAAGTTACAGATTCATTATAAAGCTTTTAATATAGATCCCTGGTGCAAAAATTAAGTTTCTATTTGTAGTAATTTAATTTCAAAGCCATCACGACTCAAGATAAGCATGTAACTACCTGCAATGAAAGGGGTAGAAGGGAAACAAGCTGTGTTTCTTGTGTTTCACATGAATGAGCCGATGTAGAAGGAGTTAAGGCTGAGAAAATATTCGAAATAGTGAAATAAAGGTGAGGAAACTGGCTAAGAGCCCACATGCTGCTAATATCCTGCCTCAATTGAGGAGGATGTGTTTATTCACAGTTTCTTTTGGGGAAAGTGAGTTAAGAATTCTTTTTCGTGCTTGTGGTTTTTAATATAGTCTAAATTAACCTCTTCATCAGTATTTTCTTTCTACTCATGAATGATTTTTAGTCAGTGCTCTAGCAAGGAAATACGAAGCTATTAGCTTCCTTGTTTTGGGATCTCTTTTCATAATCTTGCTAGTACTAGCCTAGTGTCACATTTTACCCTCAGGTACACCTAGGGTAATTACCGTGGTCACTTGTATTTTGGTAGTTCTTGTATACATAAGAATGGCCGTACTGGATCAGACCAAAGGTCCATCTAGCCCAGTATCCTGGCTTCTGACAGTGCCCAATGCAAGATGCCCCACAGGGAATGAACAGAACAGGTAATCATCAACCATTCCTGTCACCCATTCCTAGCTTCTGCCAAACAGAAGCTAGAGACACCCTTCCTGCCCATCCTGTATAATAGTCATCAGTGGACCTCCATGAACATATCTATTTCTATTTTGAACCCTCTTATAGTCTTGGAATTTACATCATCTTCTGGCTAGAAGTTCCTCATGTCGATTATGTGTGGTGTGAAAAAATACTTTATTTTGTTTGTTTTTAAATCTGCAGCCTTTATTTTCATTTGTTGACCCCTAATTTTTGTGTTATGAGAAGGGACATATAACACTACCTTATTTACTTTCTCCACGAGTCATGATTTCATAAACTTATATCATATCCCCCCTTGGATGTCTCTTTTCTAAGCTGAAAATTCCCAATCTTATTAATTTCTCCTCATATAGCAGCCGTTCCATACCCTTAATCATTTTTATTGCCCTTCTCTGAACCTTTTCCAGTTCCAATATGTACTTTTTTTTAGATGGGCAACCATATCTGTGTACAGTATACAAAATATGGGTGTCCCATGGATTTATATAGTCATTATATTTTCTGTCTTTTTATATATCCCTTTTTTAATGATTCCCAAAATGCTGTTCACTTTTTTGACCACCTTTGCACATTGACAGGTTTCAGAGGGGTAGCCATGTTAGTCTGATTCAACAAAAACAAGAAGGAGTCCGGTGGCACTTTAAAGACTAACAAATTTATTATGGTATAAGCTTTTGTGAGATACAACTCACGTCTTCAGATGTTTGAAGAGAAAAGAAAAGAAAAAAGAAAGGTTGTGTATCCTTGATGAGGTGTAGAAGAGGTTTTAGCTGTGGGCTTTTCTGTTACCTAGTGGTGTTCTGTTGCTTTTTATGTTGGGTGTGTCCTATAGTAGGTGATTTCAGGATACTTATGTATTTCTGTGTTTCATGTTATGTATCCAGAAGTCAATTCATTCAAAAACATTGCAACAAGAAATGGCTGAGCTGGAATTCAAATGCAAATTTGACAGTCAAAAGAAGTTTAAATAGAAACATGGAATGCATCTCTCATTCCAATAAGTAATTTCCCCTTCAGATACTCACCTTTTCATCACTGTTGGAGGTGAGCCACATCCACTGTGATTTTAAATAGCATTGTTACCCTCCCGTCTCTGAATTCCTTCCTTTTTTTTCTTTTCTCTTTTCTCTTCAAGCATCCATAGAAGTTGAGTGTATTTCATGAATGCTTATACCCTGATAAAGGTGCTAGTCTTAAAGTGCCACTAGACTCCTTGTTGTTGAGTGGATATTTTTAGAGGATGATCTACAATGACTCCAAAATCTTTCTTGAGTGGTAACAGCTAATTTATATCCAGTCATTTTTATATGTATAGTTGGGATTATGTTTTCCGATGTGAATTACTTTGTATTTATCAACATTGAATTTCATCTGCCATTGTATTGCCTAGTTACCCAGTTCTGTGAGATCTTTCTGTAGCTCTTTGCAGTCCACTTAGGACTTAACTACCTTAAGTGGTTGTATACCATCTGCACATTTTGCCGCCTCACTGTTTACCCCTTTTTTCCAGATTGTTTACAAATATGTTGAATAAGACTGATTCCAATATAGATGCCTGGGGGGACACAACCTCTTTCCATTCTGGAAATGTTTATTCCTACCTGTTGTTTCCTATTTTTAGGGTTGCCAGGTGTCTAGTTTTGAACTGGACAGTCCGTTATTTGAGCTTTCTGTCCAGGAAACAAATTGAGAAAATACTGGACATATAAATGCCCGGTATTTTCTAATTAAGTAAGTTTTATTATTATCATGAGTATCAGTACATAGTTGCATACTGCTTGGCTGGTAGACACAGTCACACTGCATGAGCATGTCTACCAGCCAGGCAGTACGCAACTATACAGTAGAGAAGAAGGGGACGGGGCTGGGGCGGGATGGAATCCCCTGGGCCGGACTCACAGCTAGTTGTTCTTCAAACTACTTTTTGGCTTTTCTTATTACATTTTTAACTTAATTTGGCAGTGTTTATGCTCCTTTTTATTTTCCTCACTAGGATTTGATTTCCACTTTTAAGAAGATGCCTTTTTATCTCACTGCTTCTTTTACATGGTTGTTAAACCACAGTGGCACTTTTTTAGTTCTTTTACTGTGTTTTTTAATTTGGGGTATACATTTAAGGTGAGCCTCTATTATGATGCCTTTGAAAAGTGCAGCATTCAGGGATTTTACTTTAGTCACTGTACCTTTTAATTTAAATTCCAGTTTCACTGTACCTTTAACGTGAAACTGGAAGCATTTCTGAGAATGCCACCATTGAGGTCCTGGATTTCAGTCACTTTCCTAGCAGCCTAAATTTGGCCTGCAGGATGGCCTACCCTTCCCTATGTCATTGGTACCTATATGTACCACGACCACTGGCTCCTCCCCAGCACTACACATAAGTCTATCTAGATGCCTTGAGAGATTCTCAACCTTCGCACCAGGCAAGCAAGTCACCATACAGTTCTCCCAGTCATTGCAAACCCAGCTATCTATGTTTCTAATGATCGAATCTCCCATTACTAACATCTGCCTTTTCCTAACAACTGGAGTTCTCTCCCTTGGAGAGGTAACCTGAGTGCAAGAGGATACCCCAGCATCATCTGGAAGGAGAGTCTGTAGGTGTCTGATGCTTCCCTCACTATTTCCTTCCATCTTTCTCTTCCCAGTGCAGAGTGGCTTAGTTTCTGTAGACTAGCTCTGCACCAATCTACTATATCATCTGCCCATTCTCTGTGGGGTCTGCCTCTCCTATTTGGACCATCCATTATGCCAAATACCAGGGTCTTAACTTTTCACACGTCGTTCATTCTGCAGATATGCCTGAATAGCTAACTTCCATTGTATAACCGTAAGAGAATAGTGACCTTTAAATCCATTAATGAGTATCCAGGAAAGTTAAAATGTCCAATAGGTTTTTGTGTGATACCATTTCAAATATCTGATTTATGTCCATTAATCCTTTGTCATAGAGACTGTCCAGTTTGGCCAATATACATGGCAGAGGGTTATTGCTGGCACTTGATGGCATAGATCACATTAGTGGATGTGCAGTTGTATAAGCCTCTGATGTGGTGGCTTATGTGGTTAGGTCCTGTGATGATGTCACTTGTGTAGATGTGTGGAGAGAGTTGGCAACAGAGTTTATTGCAGAGGTGGGTTCCTGGATGAGTATGTTTGAGGTGTGATGTGTGGTTGCTGGAAAGATTTTATTTCAGGTTAGGGTATTGTCTGTACCCAAGGGCTATGAGAGTGAGGGATTGTTTTCCAGGATAGGTTGTAGATTGTTAATGATGCACTGGAGGGATTTAAGTTGGGGGCTGTAGATGATGACTGGTGGTGTTCTGTTGTTTTGTTTGTTGGGCCTATCTTGAAGAAGCTGATGCCTGGTTACTTGTCTGGCTCTGTCAATCTGTTTTTTCGCTTCCCCAGGGAGGTATTTAAGTTTTAAGAATGCCTGATAAAGCTCCTGTATGTATTTGGTTTTGTCTGTGGGATTGGAGCAAATCTAGTTGTATCTTAGGGACTGGCTGAAAACAAATGATTGGGTAGTGTGTCCTGTATGAAAGCTAGAGGCATGTAGATAAGTAGAATGGTCACTAGGTTTCTGGTATAAGGTGGTGGAAATGTGGCCATTATTTAGTTGTACTGAAGTGTAAAGGAAGTGGATCTCTTGTGTGGTCTGGTTCAGGCTAAGGTTGATGGTGGGATTGAAGTTGTTGAAATCCCTGTGGAATTCTTCAAGGGACCCCTTTCCATGGGTCCATATGATGACTATGTTATCAATGTAGTGTAAGTAAAGTAAGAGTGCTAGGGGGTTAAAGCTGAGGAAACATTGTTCGAAGTCAGCTATAAATATGTTGGCATATTGTGGGGCCATGCAGGTGCCCATAGCTGTGCCGCTGACTTGGAGATAGAAATTTGAAATGTATTGCAAAAGATTTATTTGAGAATGAAGCATAAAAACAATTATGGGTAGTGCAATTATTTTCCTTTTCAATGGCCCAATAACTAATAAAACTTCAAGATCACTGTGGGCTGTAAATAGTAAGTGAGTCATAAGCTTTTCCTCTGAAATATGAGCAAGAAACATACATCTTACAACATATTTTTCCACTGAGGGCAAGTTTTACTTTAGCCCTCTTAACTGTTCTCAATAATTTTGTTTTTAGAGTTTTCTAAGACAAGCCCTCCAAAGAAAAATGACCAGTCATTACTGTACACAGCATGCAGCTAATTTTACAACTTTCTGTGTTGTGATGAACTTACATCTTTGTAGTAAGGCTATTGGGTAT